CTGAAACAAAGAAGCCATAGGGTAACCTTAATCAAAATGGGTGAAACGAAGGAGTAGAGTCTTAAGTGTCATTGAATCAGACTTTGCTGGAGCCCCTGGGCCTGGATGAGCTTTTGAAACTATTGCTCAGAGATAATGTTTGCACCCTAATCCATGAATGTGCCCTGAAGTCTTCTCCTAACCAAAGGATAAGTGAGCTCAGTTAAGAAATAATGTTTGCCTTGAGCACTGTGGTCTTTTAAAGAAGAATTAATAAAATAAAACAAAATTTAAAAATAGAAAAGAATTAATGTGGATGAAAATAACATTGTCAACACCAAAGGTCACAGATAGTAAACTAAGGAGGTGGTGTCTTTATGTTAATTGGGGAGGAATATTTCTGAAAAGGAGCATGAGAATGGTTGTATAACTTGAAGACTGTAGCTGATGTCACTGAGTTGTACATGCACATTGTTGAATTATCATTTGCTGTACATAGTAAGACTGTAGCCAGTGTCACTGACTTGTATGTGTACATTATTCAATTAGCTTATCTTTTGCTGTACATAGTTTCAACAGTTTTCTAAAAAGATAACAGAAAGGCACAGTAGTGAAAAGAAGACAGGTGGAAGGTTTAGCTTTAAAGAGGAGCAAAAATAATTCTAATGAAATTTATGGCCTTAGGTAATTTGTGACATTGGCCAGGTACTCTGATTTTCTGAAAGGAGTTCAACGACCATATGATTCCTTAGGGTTCCATTCAAGGTTAAATAGTAAATTAGTAAAGCTGCCATAGCTGTTTGTTTTTATTTCTTTAAATCAACTTATACTGTATTAGAAAAGTTAACAGTTATTACTTTGCTTCAGGACTACCTGGTTTTCCCGCTTTTGGCCTCATTTTTCATTACTTTTCCATACACTTGCCTCTTCGTTGGTGTTATTTTGATTTTTTGTGGTCTGTTTTTTCTGTAGTGCTGTCAGCCAGGTAGTGGTGTTTCTACAAGCACTAGGGACAAATTTGTGTTAAGATGAATGTCCGCTGATGTTGAGGTTTCCATTCTGTAGGAAACTAGGTCATCCATTGCTATATTTCCAAGGAAAACTTGTTGAAGTTATGAAGAATTTTAGAATAATATAAAAACTTAAATATTGTAGGTTACAATAGAATGTAAAAAAATCTGAGCTTTGGCAAAGATAAGTTTCCTGAGGTTGTTTTAAGGTTGCTATCTCTAATAAGAAAATGTGTTCCTATCGTTAGATGGCTGTGAAGTCAGTTTTGACTCATAACAATCCCACTTGACAGGGTAGAACAGCCCAGTAGGGTTTCTATGTTGTAATCTTTTTAATTTTTCCCACATTTTATTGGGAGCTTTTACAGATATTATAACAATCCCTCGTTCCATTAGATCAAGTGTGATTATACAATTGCTGCCACCATCAGTTTCGAAATCTTTCTTTATGAACAGATCATCAGGTCTTTCTGCTGTGGAACAGATAATTCCTGTGTCAGTAGAGACATTAAAACAAGCGAACAGTGTCTAGTGTGAAAACACATTGCCTCAGTAAAACAGGACTATAGTAATTATTCTTAAATACTCAGAAGAAGAAAGGGGCCTTGGGAATGACTATGCTTGCACAATTTTAAACAAAATCACATAATTTAGAGGATAAATTGAATAAAAACTCTTTGAGAAAAAAGAGAATAGAATCTGTAGACATCCAAAACAGAGAAAATGAAGAGGGAAAGGAAGTGTGTTAACAAAGGAACAAGGGACAAGGGAACAACAAGCGATCCAAATTGGTGGTGAGGTGGGTGTGGGGGGCCTGGTAGGGCATGATCAAGGGTAATG